AAAATTGGTCCCATACGAAATGTCTACTGTGAAATCATGAAAAAAGACATTGAAATGAAATCTAACTAAGGAAATAACAGACACAAGATTTCGTCGGATTTCCGGAGCGTAGAGGACATTTTGCAGGACTAGGGTCTTTCCTCCATGCAGGGTCAGCTCACAAGTACCGATCCCTTTGACTTCTACTCTCGCGTTGTTCCCAACATAAAGCCATCTGCTTCTTGCTGGTAACCGACGAAATTCTGTGAAGTTCCCACGATCCTTGCTCACGTGGTCTGTGGCCCCTGAGTCTTTTTCTGCTCAGGGCAGTCCTTGGCATAATGCCCCTTTTGTTGGCAAGCATAGCATTTGATGGTTGCTATGTTCCGCTTCTTTGCAGGTTTCTTGCCTTTCTTGAAGGAACTATTTCCTTTCTTCACTTTAGGGCTGCCTTTCTTATTTTGAGAGCCTTTGCTTCTCTTGGACTGGTTTTGGGAGGTTGCCCCTCCCTTTCCTTCAGTTAAATATGCCTTATTGACAGGCTTCACAGTTTCCATCCGATCATCCTCCAGTTGGAGGTGGCGAGCTACATCAGCAAAGGTTTTTATACTCTCATTATGAGTAATGGTGTGCTTCATGGTATCCCAACTTGCTGGGAGAGATCTCATGACAGCTTGAATCTGTTGCTCATCAGATAAAGCGCCTCCGGCTTCCTTAAGCTCCCTTATTAAGTTCTGCATTGCCCTTAGGTGATGCCTTATGGGAGTGTTAGGACCCAGCTTGAAATTATCAAGTTTGACGGTGAGTCTCCTAAGCCTCGCAGCAGAGGTACCGTCAAATTCGGATTTCAATGCTGCCCACATGGCAGAGGCTGAAGGGTGTGTTTCAAATTGCACCAACACATCGTCAGTCATGGCACTTAGCATGGTTATTCTGGCGATAGTGTCCCTTCTTTTCCAGGCCGCGTAGCCGTCCTGGTCCCTTCGCGATGCATTTGCCTCAGGCTCTAGAAGAAAAGTAGTCAACACATCAGTGACTTCTTGTTCTTCAAGGACATACGATATCTTACGACGCCACATGCTGTAATTGTCTCCGTTCAGCTTGTCACCTCCTACGAGGTCAGCTATGATGGACTTGATTCCTCTTTGAGACATCGTGCTATCACATAGACAACAATGCATTTTAGTACGGTATGCAGTATACACACTTTATTCAAGTAGGTCATAGGTCGTCCGGATAAGAGTTTCACCATTTTCATGATCAGGAGACAACTAGGTTGGCTCCCATCCCATTACTCCTGGTTAGTCTCTTACCTTTCTTACCTCTGACTTTCCTTGAACATATCCCTAATTGGAGTTTTCCTCCTGAAACTCCCACTCAAATAAAGCATTTGAAATAAAAAAAAATTTATTTATTGAAGCATAAATGTTTACAAAAGAAATTTGGATAATTCCAAAAAAAGGTCTCAAGAGTAAACATTAAATGAAAAGGAAAAAAATAAATGTGAACAGAAACTCATTCGTTCATGATATATTTTATCATTGTTTCTCTCAAACTCTCTTTAACACCTTTCCAGCATCTACAGAGACATTGTTTAAAAAATGCTTCACTAAATATGTGTCCCCTCCTCGCCAGTTCCTCTCTGTATTGGATTGCAATATTTGAGAAAAAGAGTGCGTCTTGCTCATTGACAATTTGTTTAGCATAATAAGTCAATTTTGAAAAGAGGCACTTTTGATGCTTGTATTCATCAGCATGCTTTTCTGCTATCTGTTCTATTAAATTTATGTCCTTGGGTCTGCAGACTTCTTCCTCTTGTTGGTCAGGAACACATTTCCTTTTACCACTGCTCCCCTCAGGTACATTAGAGTTTACTTGTGATTGAGGCGCTTTTCTTTTATTTGTACTTTCGGCAGCATAATAATTTGAAGATTTCGAATCATCAGAAAGAGGAGAATAAGTTGGATATTTTCCAAAAGAGGAGTTAGAATTTGAGTTTGAGTTGGCCATTTCCTAAACCCAAAAAGAACAAGTTAAGAAAAATAAAAATAAAATTCAAAAACATTTATTTGCTATTTTTCGTACCCAAAAAGTCATAAAAAATCAGCACATAATATATTAATTCATAGCTCATGATTTTAGAAATATTTCAGGTCAAACAGGGCTCAAAAATAGCCCCTCACGCGCCCTCACGCGCCCCAATAAGCAAAAAAAATTCCTTTTTTTTTTTAAGGGCTAGGTTCGCCCACTCTCAGGACCGGCGCGTGTCATACACGCGCCGCCTTTCCGGCCTCTCGCCGTCACCTGACCTATTCCAACTGATTCCTCACGTCTCAAGGAGTTTATATATGTGCTTTTTATGACCAAAGGGTCCCTAGGTGGACCCCACGCGCCCACATGGCACGTCCAAAAAAAATTTAAAAAAAAACCTTTTTTTTATTTCAAAAAAAAATTTTAAAATAATTTTTAAAAAAAAAATTTCGGTGACCGACCCGACTTCCAGGGGATCCGGGTCCACGGACCCAAAACGCAGCGTTTCACTTAAAGTGAAACGCTGCGTCCTGGCCAGCCCAAAACGACGCCGTTTGTCCCTGACCTCCAGCCGGGTCGCCCCAGATCCGGCTGGAGCTCCGGCGGGTCCGTCGCGACCCGCCATTTTCGAACCGCCGTATCTTCCTCCTCCGAGCTCCGTTTTATGCATTTTAAGTGTCTATGGACTCGTATTTTCGTGCTCTACAACTCTATGGGTTTATTTTCTTTAAAAAACATCAATTTTAAAGACCCAAAAAAATGGTTCGAACGGCCGACGTTGGAAGCTTCAGAAAGTAGACTTCGATCACGTTTTTAAGCCTTACAGAATAACAGGTAATGTTTTCGAACTTCACTTATATAAATGGAGTGTTTATGTGAATTTAAAACACAAGCATATAGAGTTCGAATTGCATACGGCATATTCACGATGCAGCGGAAAAAAAATGAGCGTGTAATATATATATATATGCACACATATATTGAGAGCCTCAAGAACATCTCGGCTCTGATGCCAATGTAAGATAAATTTCAGAATGGATCGAAAACATACCGGGTTGGATCTCGGGTCGGGTCGGTCGGATCTTCTTAGCTCACGCTTAAGCTAGACTATAAAAGTCTGAGCTTTTAAGTGCACAGCAGAGCACCTCTTTTGCAAGAAAGAAAATAAGAGAGAGAGAGAGAGATAGTAGGAAAGCTCTACTACTGGAGTGATTTGAACTGATGGGGGGAAGCCTCTATTTATAGCTTTTGTCAGGGATATTTTGGGTAGCATAAAAATATCCACTGAGCCCATCAGATAAAATCTGAGATAAGATATAATATATTCTTATCTCATAATATCATGATATTTGAATTTAAATCCAGAATCAATCACAATTAATTCTAAATATATATACTTAATATATATTTAATCTACACAATATAAATTAATTAGATTTATATCGTAACCGATTGGATATGATTCAGGGTGTTTGACCAAGTCAAACATATCACAATATCGCTTGGATATTTGACTGATATATTCTCTCTATACCCGGTCAAATAATCCGGGTCATCAAGGGCGGATCCAAGCCCAAAAATCTAACATTTATTTATTGTAAATAACTAACCTAACTAATTTTCTTAATTTACTCACATTAGTTAACTAATTTTTATATTAAAGACCAAAAATAGTGGTAAATAGTCTAGATTGTAACAAGATGCAATTGATATTTTACTAAAATATCTTTATGTTTTAATGATCTAAATTAACAATTGTTTGAAAACAAAATCAAAACCCTTAAACAGACTATTGTTTAAAGGAAGAGGGATTACTATATATCAGTTTCTTCCCATCCAACAAACTTTCGTTTTTTTTTTCCTTTTTACATATCAATTAATTTCTTAATATAGATAAAGTTAATCGTTAAGTAAATATTTGCTGAGTGGTTAAGAATATTTTGCAGTTTTCAATATACAAAAAGTTGTTGCGCACTATACACCTTTATTTGGTCATTTTATAAATAAATATTTTCTAATTTCTTTTTTAACATATCAAAATAGTTGATGATGATATAGTAACAAAGATTTTTTTTTGGTTGAGGAAAAATATAGGGAAAATTACAAAAGAAGACCTTGAAATTGCAAAAACACAGATAGGGACCCTTGATAACTTCACTATAGCTTTTGACAATAATAATATGTTATAAAGTTATCAAAACCCAAAGTGAAATTGTCAAGGATTCCTATTTGCGTTTTTGCAATTCCAAGGTCTTTTTTTGCAATTTTTTCAAAAGTATATGCTGATAACAATGGCTACGGTTTTGTTTTCCTTGCCTTGAACATAATGTTTTGAAGATTTTTCCCCCTAAAATACCAAGCACACCCTTAAATGCAATAATAAGTAGTTGGAAAATAATACAATCAAAGTCGTGGTAAAAAATGGGTTTCATATTCATAAAGAATATTTATTAATGATGGCATCCACTAGGTTTCACATTTATAAATATTTTCATTATTCTTGGTAATCATTTCCCATTTTCAAGGAGAGAAAAAATAAAATAGACATATTTGAAACAAGATTTGTTTAATTATTTTAGTCGTTGGTCTTTCTGGAACCTTACCGAGCCAAGACATTAAAAAGCAAATCTTGTACTCCACCATTCCTCATCAACATAACATCTTACCTACTAAACTGAACCTGATCATGTTCAATATCCAACAGAACTGTAGTTACAATAACACATTTTGCTTATTAGTACCTAACCTAACTATTGTACTTTTTCTGGTACACGTTCATATCATACAGTTTTGTTGATTGGCGGCTCAGGTACTTGGTCTCCAAACCAGCTTTTCAAAAATTCTCCCCTTTTTCCCAATCATTGAGTGGCTTCAAAGCATCACGGTCTTGCGTTTAAGCATTTGTTAGTGAACATATAGCTCACTTCCCTGTGTGTATATATATATGCACCAGACTCTCCTCAAGTTTCCATTGTATCCTGGTCAGTTTCAAATTGCTTTGTGCATTATAATTAATCTGTTTCTTCAGATTGATTCTGAAAGAGATTATGGCTCCAAAATACGTCGTCGTTCCGATCTGTTCATCACTAATCCTCTTGTTGACATTGCTTTCAGTTCCATTGGTGTCCAAAGCTGAGCTTTATGCACATTATTATGACCAAACATGTCCTCAGTTGGAGAAAATCATATCAGAAGCAGTCCTCAATGCTTCAAAATATGACCCAAAAGTGCCTGCTCGTATACTCAGGATGTTCTTTCATGACTGTTTCATCAGGGTATTTATTATATATAACTCCATTTATTGTGGGACTTATTGTTTCTGTAGCAGTTTGCATTTATCTTCATATTAACTCACACTTGCCTTTTTATTTATTATTTTGTGTAGGGTTGTGATGCATCGATACTTTTGGACTCAACTCCAATGAACAAAGCAGAGAAAGATGGCCCCCCAAATGTGTCAGTCCGATCATTCTACGTCATCGACGAAGCCAAAGCCAAGCTTGAAAAGGCATGCCCTCGTACAGTTTCATGTGCTGATATTCTCGCCATTGCAGCAAGAGATGTGGTAGTCCAGGTAGCATAATACTCTCTACACTCCTTACTTAAGTTGAATAGATTAAAAATGTTAAATAAATTAGTTAATTATAACAAATGTTGACTTAATCACCCCAAAGTATTGCTATGTATAACACTAGACTATGTATCAATTTATAAGTTAAATAAATTAATTTTTAAAAAAATAATAAAACATGAAAAATAAAGTATATTGAGATATTATATTTGGGATGAAATCCAACCTTTTATCTAGCTCCTATGTTTGGAAGTGGACCGAGTAATTGGTACTCATGACACCTCTCTCTCCCCTCCGGTGTGGAACCTCATTATGTGTTTTTGTTATATGTTGATGATTTCTTGGACAGTCTGGGGGTCCATATTGGGAGGTTCTAAAAGGAAGGAAAGATGGAAGAGTGTCAAAAGCATCTGATACGAGGAACCTGCCAGCTCCATCTTCAAACGTCACCCAACTCATTCAGAGCTTCGCTGCGAGAGGATTGGACGTCAAAGATATGGTCACTCTCTCAGGTGGTCACACTCTGGGATTCTCACACTGTTCTTCATTCGAAGCTCGCCTCAAAAATTTCAGTCTGCTACATGACGTTGATCCCACTTTGAACACTGAGTTTGCCAAAGATCTGAAGAAGAAATGCCCAGCAACCCCATTTAGGGACCATAATGCTGGACACTTCTTGGACTCCACAGCTTCGGTGTTTGATAATGACTACTACAAGAGATTGATTGCTGGGAAAGGTGTGTTTTTGTCAGATCAATCACTTGTTGGAGATTGGAGGACCAGGTGGATTGTTGAAGCTTTTGCTTATGATCAGAGTTTGTTCTTCAAGGAGTTTTCTGCTTCCATGTTGAAACTCGGAAATGTGGGTGTCTCTACAAATGGAGAAGTGAGACTTCATTGCCGGATTGTGAACTGAGATTTGAGAGAGAGACATAATAACCAGATTTTACTGTCTTTTTTTCCTTCTACTGCGTATCCTTGTGGCTTACAACGATGTCACAAGTATAACGATATTGTTATTACCCATGTTTCGATTAATGTAATTTGCTTAATAAAAGGAATGAATTTGAAATTTTCAAAAATTTTAAGTTTTTATTATTCATTTGTACGTATATGTCGTGCAATGCAAGCCACATGGAGAGAAAAACTAGTTGGAAATATAAAAAAGTATATTCTTTTTTAGAAAGTACAAATATATGGGAAAATCTCAAAACAATATTTCTTGAATTTTAAAATTTTAAATCACTCTTATTTATTACATTTTAATGGCAATTGACTACACTTGAGAAGAAAATAACAACACACATTTTTGTAGTAATTTCTGATTTGAAATTTTAAATTTTAATAAGTTTTTTTTGGGAATTTTTCCTAAATATTACTAGAAATGTGGAGTTATTTGAATAACATAATTTTCTAAATTTCAATAAGTTTTTTTTGGGAATTTTTCCTAAATATTACTAGAAATGTGGAGTTATTTGAATAACATAATTTTCTATTTTATATTTTATATTTCTAGGTTGAACAACACATACTTGCTTTTATAATTTCGTTCCACTTTTTTTAATTTCATTCCCAGAATAAGGAGTCACGATGCACATAATTCCATTAGAGTCTATATTGATCTTCTATACCAACATTTGAATGACAAAAATTAATTACAACAAGCTAGCAATTCAATGTTCTTAAATTTGAAGTTTACATTAACTTGATTTTTATAGTATATTATTATGGAGTTAAATTATTTTTTTAATATACTATGGAGTTAAATTATTATACATTGATGTAAAATTCTTCAAGAATGATGTTCATTATAAGAATTGTTAATATCCCACTTTACCGCCCTTTTCCTCTCCTCTTTCGTAAAGCATGCCTGTAGGAGTACTGGGATCATATTTAATGCGCATTCCAGTCAGTGTAACTGTATTACTGTTGACAACTAAGCAGAGGACTTTACCTTTTTATCGAATAATTCTCGAGTTGGGAAGGAGGCTTTTACATGTTGGGACTCTCAAGACGATGCTCATTTCTTGCCAGAAAGTTTACAAATATAAATCAATAAATCCATTTGTTCATGTATTGACGACGTAGCCTCTTATTCAAAAAGAAAGAATGCAAGCAAGCAAGCAGGCCTACAGTGGGAAAGTAACACTGCTAGAGTAATAGGAGGATACCTATGTTTTAGGGGGAAACAAAAGAGTGATTAATTGTAATGTTGACCATAAAGGATTTATAGTATAACTGAGAGGTTTGGTCAATAATGTTGCCTGTCACTGGTGCCTTTTGCCCCTAAAATGTGACCACACAATGCACTTTCTTTTTGTTTGGCCAATTACACAACACACATTGAAAACAACAGAACTCAGAACGTCCATTAAAACAAGCACAACAGAGAAACTCGGACCAGTAAATGATCCTCATGCTCGTGTGCAGAAACAAGTTCAAGGAGGCAGTGATCATATTCACAGCCACAAATAGGCAATCTACCAATGACCAGTAGACGTAGTTAGAGTTGCCAGAGTCAAATTCAATATATGCACCTCTTTCTCTTTCTAAAATTCTGATTGAAGAATCCAAATCTGGTGGAGAAAAGAACAGAAAAAGACTCAAAATATTCTGCCATAGAAATGAAATCAGAACATTGCTTTTTTGTTTCATGCTTTCCTGTATTCCGTTTCCATTAAGTGAACAGATGCATGCACAGTGTAATGAGACTTCAGAGAAAAGCATCGTATGTCAAAGCTAAGAACTAAGTTCCCAAGAACTTGGTTGTGGTCTGCCAATTCGTAGGAAGAAACAGGAATGGAAGAGAAAATTGTCAATAGTAGGAGGTGCTCACAGGATTCGTAATATAAAGATAACATAATACATTCAATAATTGAGAGGGATATTGAAAGGAAAGAGAAAACTGTTATCTGCTCAAACGTTGATTTGGATCACATTGAATACATCTGCGAGCAAGTCAACAGCTATCTCAGCAAACAAAAATCAAAGTACGATCACATGGCATCTAACACAAAAATTCAAATATTACAAGATCTTACTTTCCCTATTTGAAAAGATGAACTCCTAAACGAAAGTCAAGCTCAGTGAAGGTGCTTCAGATTAGCCAAAACAGTATATTGGGGTGGGTAAAATAAGTCAAATACCTCCCTGCAATAATCAGGAATTATTGAAGGCCTCCAGCGATGATGCAACAAGGGATATAGAGCAGTGGAATTGTACTGTGACTGGGCCAAAGTCAACAATGAACGTCACCCACACAGTAACATCATCTAGCAAGCTAAACAAGCACTTGGCAGAAATTGGCAGACATATACTAAGTTCATGAACAAAGAAACTAACCAATGTCCGAATATGCTAGCTAGAATATTTCATGACATAGACATTGATTTTTGTCCCTAAGATCAACTCCCACCTCGCCGTACAAAGTTGGTGGATGATGATAGAAGAGATAGGATTTGGCATGAACCCATGCAATATGCTTCTTTATTTGACTGAATGAACACGTTTATATTTTTTCAGAAAAAAAATTGACAGTCCATGAATTACAGCACTTGTTGCAGACGATAGGCACATAATTGATAAGCGTTTATTCTTACAGCAGAGTTATGGGGCTGCCTCATGACTTTAAAACGCGCTTGGGACAGAGGACATCGGAAGGCTGCCATACACAGCGACTGTGTTGAAGCTATTCAACTGATTTGGTCGGACGTTCCTGAGACCCACATGGACTGGCAATTGATACAAGAAATCAAGAGCATGCTTGCGAGAGTGGGCGTGCAACTCATCACTGTTAAAAGAGGGCGTATGCAGATGGCAGACTTGCTCGCAAAGAAAGCGTTGAGTGAAGCAGGAGGCCTGCTTCTTTTCAGCCCAGAAAGTTTAACTACGCATCTGGAAGCTCCTCCGACTTAGTTGTTTGCTTTTGCTTTCCGTTTGCATCATGGCAATAATTAATCAACATCTCATAGCTTTAGAAAAGATCAGCAATAGCCCCTAACGCGATTTGAACCAGCCAACAGTCACAACCATCTCACTCAACATTCAACAATAACAGACTCGATCAAAGAATTGGAAGAGGAAGACATTATCCTCTATGCCCAACTTGACCTGGCTCATTTTGGCTCTGTCCGGCTAGTTTCTCAGGTTACTTGGGTAGTGTGCAGTATTGACTACAATTATTTACTCAACTAAACAGGATGCCAAGAAAATGCCAAAGAGCCCAAACGCAGTCACAACATACAACTTTGTAGAGCGAAAATACTCTGAAGGAAATAAAAATCAGAACAAAAGTCAATAATAGTTGGGTTAAGTGGAAGGCACTTAATCCTTTTAAAGAAAGTCAAGACTTAAACTTTGTGGATAGAAAAAACTATGCTGGAAAAGCAACCTCTAAATGACTTCAAGAATGATATAATATAACCTAATAGTATGATATATAATTGTAATTAATTAGGAAGCAAGTTGGTTAGAGTTAGTTAGTGGAATTAGTCAATGGATCCCTAGGCTTATAAATAAGAGGGGTTGGACAGATCGTAATGAGGCTATGAGAATGACAATGAGTCCAGTGAATGAAGTTTCTCTCCTAATTCTCTCTTATCCCTTTCTGTTCTCTCTTTCTCCCTCATTCTCCTTCTCTCTCCATATTTGACACTCATTCCCAACGTTTATTTTGTATTATAGTACTACATATTGGATAAATGCAATAAAAAAATTGAACAAAATTGAGAATTTAATGAAATCCATACTCAATAATAATAATTGCTTATATGCAGAATCAGTGAACATCACAAAATCATTTAAATAGTGAGGCTCGAGCTTGTTAGCCTGAGGTTCGATCAGTATATGAGAACATGAGATGGACTGATGATACCTCGCCTTGCCAGTGTCCTCATGGAACTTTTTATAAACCAGTTCAGAAATATCAAATTACATTCAACTTTTTTATTGCCTATTTCAAAGTTGAAATGGTTAACTAAGATGTTTACGGCAGAATTGTTTTATGGTTTTCAAGATAAGGAAACAAGTAAGAAAAAGATAGAAACATATAATCTGAACAGAATACAACAGAGACAGTCATAATATATCTCCCTAAACTAGAACTTCCTCCTTCAGTGTTGCATAATCTTTCATGCAACTCACACCAAAATAGAACAATCATGAGAAAGACAAGAAATCAGAAGTTGGATGCATCACCCAAGGCAACAAGCATCACATTAGAGTTTTGGGCATCGTAATGTTCCAACAACAACATGAAGTAAAACTAAAACTGCAAAAATTTAATTACTAGTTCTAAGTGTTTATCCGGCAGAAAAAGATCAAAGGCATGAATCTCCACACGGAAATGAATTTCCGCAGTGCACCAACATTAATAATCATGATCATAATAATAATAATTTTCGTTGAGTGATCAGCTAATAAGGATAAATCCTTAAAGGATATAGTGTCGTCTGGCAGAAGATATATGCCATTCGTCAAGCAAATACTATGTCTGAGCGGAAAACATATTTGACACCCTTTGTGACATTTCTGGCTTCATGCAACAAGCATTTATCTCCGTGAAGGTGCAGGAGAGCCATCCCTTCAGTAGGAGTCACCTATAAAGTCAATTTTGTATTAAAACTCAAATCATAGAGCATATTCCACAATTTGCAGGAAGTAAAATTTTGCCATCACTATGAAGGGGAAAGGAAATATGCATATCCACATTTTTATTAAGAAAATGACAGATCTACCTCAGCCACAACACTATTTCTTGAACCATAGAATACAGTTTCTCCTCCTGATAGGGGATCAACAGACAAATCGCCTGGCTTTTTTGTCGCATTTTTGGGACTTGATTTAAGGCCACCACTCAAATACACAAGCAACGTGTAATAAGTGCAATTTCCTTCTCCAAGATCAACACTTTCATCAATATGACGTCCAAAACGTTGACCAACGTTGTATCTAAAATGCAGAAGTAGATGATCATTAGCGATGGTAATGCATCTCATTTACCTCAACACCGAATTCATGGAGATAATATTTGCTATTTGTCAAGGAGACTACACCAAATACACAATCTGTGTCCTGAAAAATCTTTTATTTATTTATTTTTTCTTTTTTTTTTTGGCCGGGGGGGGGCATCAAGGTAGTCAAGAATATGAAATACCAACCTGTAGAGTCTTATATTAGGATTTAGACCAACAGCAACCTTCCCTCGTATTCTTATATCAGAAAATACTTTGTCAAGTCCAGACTCCCAAATTGTATCTGCAAGTGCAGGGTCGTGAACAGAAATTCGATCATTATCCCTGTAAGCTTCACCTTTAGTTGGACCAAGACTCCCTTGATGAGAAAAACCAATTGCTTCTGCAACTTTAATGAATGCCTTCGATTCAGCGGATGAGAAAAAACTCTGAACCTGAAATCTTGAAGAGAAGATTAACAAAATAAGAAGACTTTATGGAGAGAAAAAATCTGAACCTGAAATCTTGAAGAGAAGATTAGAAAAGTAAGAAGAATTTATAGAAAGATTTTAACCGATGCATGCGTGGCAAATGAACAAGAGTTTTGCGAACCTTTTATTGGTTTCAGAACACCGAAAATTTGCCTCTCATCTTAATTATGTGGATCAAGTTGAACAGCAATGTCAAAAGAAAAATAAAACACAATGGGACAACCAATAATAAAACAAATTAACCTCTTGGCCCAATCTTCAACTCAACATCATCATCAAGGTATGCACCAATACATGGTTGATGTTCCTCCTTACAACATGAATTGCTGCCATATTTGCGGTTATGTTATAGTACATACATGATGGACTTTCACATCGACTGGACATTTTCCCTCGGCCATCCTAAATTTTGTAATCCATCGCTGATCCTAGCTCTCAAGGGCAAAGGCAGCCTTATACAAGGGCTTTTCCATTTCCAGTTCTACAGGGCCGGCGGAAGAAATTCTTACTAAATTTGAAGCTATCCACGGCCTATATCTACATTCCACTCAGTAAACAGCATAGAGAAAACATACGCGCAAGGAGTAGCATCCTTTAATATTTGTTATTTTTCATTTTACTGCTGCTACAAAACCCTCCGATATGATCTCATTTTTAAGCAGCTGGATTGAAATCCTAATTAAACATTTACTCTTCTTATGGTCCCCATTCTGATATGAATTTCTGAGAATTTAAGCATTAAAGTTAGCTATGGTGAGTATTATTGTTCTCAATCAAATGAAACATGGAAGTAGACAACTATGTGATAGTGAATTGGATCAAACGCAGCTCACGTATCTCATAATTATCTTATGAGACCCAACCAAATTTTACAGAGCAAAGATCAAGCTAAGATGTCGAACACAGGCATGTCTGCAAATACAAAAGATTTTCGAGGGTGTAGGTCAAAATTCCTACCGTGAATAGATCGCTATCTTTGAGCCGAGTAATCTGGAGATTCTTTTTTGGCTTGATGACAGGCCATTTCTGTGCTGTTTTATTCGAATCTTTCTCCTTCCTGTCTCCCATTTTTCTCTTCTTCGTCAGCATTTCAGCGTGTTCGCCATTAGCTTATGGGGAAGGGAACCATCAATATTCAACAATATATTAGTCGGCAAAAAAAATAGGGAAAATTTTATTTAAGGACTGCGTAAGGGAATTTATATCAGTCAACCCCCAAAACATTCTGAAATATCATTATAAGACTAAGAAACCAAATTGAAATTAAAATTAAGAATAAGATTATAATAATACCCCTCACTTTTATTTTTTAAAAAAATAAATATTAATAGACATAATTGTTCGGGCAACCAGAGTTACAGTAACGGCCACCGGAGGTCCGATCGCCGCATGAGGTTGGACCTCCGGTGGCTGTTAGTATAGCTCTGGTAGCCGGAATTTTTTTTTTTTTAAACAAGGTGGCCAAGAGAAGGTTTGAACCCATAACCTCTTGGCTCACCAAAAGTAATGTAACCACCAAGCCAAGCAAGTCATTTAATCATGTAATGCAAATAAAAATATATATAACAAAACAAACACAACTGTCCAAGTATAAGTAAACAAGTGAAATTATACGATTTACAAGTGAAATTCATCAATTTACAACAAAAATTAGACAATTTACAAATAACATAATAAAATTTACAATCCCAAATGCAAGTGTTTAAGTGCAAATGAACAAGTGAAATTTAAAGATTTACAACAAAAATTTATAGATTTACAACCTAAATTTGGCTATTCACAAGAAATACAAGAGAATTGACAACCCACAATGTAAGTGTTTGAGTATAAGTGAATAATTGAAATTAGACAATTTACAAGTGAAATTCAACAATTTACAATAAAAATTAGGCAATTTACATATAACATAATAAAATTCACAACCCCAAATGCAAATGTTTAAGTGTAAATGAACAAGTAAAATTTGAAGATTTACAATAAAAGTTTATGGATTTACAACCCAAATTCGGCTATTCACAAGAAATACAAGAGAATTCCCAATCCAACATGTAAGTGTTCGAGTGTAAGTGAATAATTGAAATTAGATGATTTACAAGTGAAATTTAGCAATTTACAACAAAAATTAGGTAATTTACAAATAATATAATAAAATTCACAACTTCAAATACAAGTGTTTAAGTGCAAATAAGCAAGTGAAATTTGAAGATTTACAACAAAAGTTTATGGATTTACAATCCAAATTTAGCTATTCACAAGAAACACAAGATAATTCACAACTCAAAATGTAAGTATTTGAGTATAAGTGAACAAGTGAAATTTGAAAATTTACAAATGAAATTCAGCAATTTATAACAAAAATTTGACAATTTACAAATAACATAATGGAATTCACAACTCCAAATGCAAGTGTTTAAGTGTAAATGAGCAAGCGAAATTGTCGAAGTTTACTTGTAAATCTATAAACTTTTGTTGCAAATTTTCAAATTTCACTTGCTCATTTACACTTAAATATTTACATTTGGGGTTGTGAATTTTATTATGTTATTTTTAAATTGTCTAATTTTTGTTGTAAATTGCTGAATTTTACTTATGAATTGTCTAATTTCAATTGTTTACTTACACTCAAATACTTACATTTTTTGTTGTGAATTCTCTTGTATTTTTTGTGAATAGTCAAATTTAGGTTGTAAATCCATAAGCTTTTGTTATAAATCTTTAAATTTCACTTACTCATTTGCACTTAAACACTTACATTTGGGGTTGCAAATTTTATTATCTTATTTGTAAATTGCCTAATTTTTGTTGTAAATTGCTGAATTTTACTTGTAAATCGTCTAATTTCATTTGGTTATTTATACTTAGACAGTTGTATTTGTTTTGTTATATATATATATATATATATTTATTTACATTATATGATTGAATGGTTTGCTTGGTTTGGTGGTTACATTATTTTTGGTGAGTCAAGGGTACTGGGTTCAAACCTCCCCTTGGCCACCTTGTTTTTTTTAAAAAAAATTTCAGCCACCTGAGCGCTGACTGCCGGACCTCCGATGGCCATTACTGTAGCTCCGGTGGCCGGAACAGTTATGTCCATTAATATTTATTTTTTAAAAAAATAAAAGTGAGGGGTATTATTGTAATCTTACTCTTAGTTTTAATTTCAGTTTGGTCCCTTAGTCCTGCAGTGATATTTCAGAATGTTTTGGGGGTTGACTGATATAAATTTCCTTCTGCGGTCCTTAAATGAAATTTTCCCAAATATATATATCTATAAATATATATTTATATATATAACAAAGAGAGAAAAATAACAACAATGTCCAATTAGTAAATACTGAACCATATGTTTTTTCATAAAAAGATAATTATATTTACTCCCTTCTTATGAGAATTAAAATATGCATTTGGTTTTTTGTATAAAATTATAATTCAGTCCTTTAATTTTAAAAATTATATTCTTACTTATTTAGTTTTAAAATTCTTGGTGTTAAACTTGATACTTCTCCAATCCTTAATATATAACATAATTATTGAATTAATTTTGATCCTAAATATAAAACATATTTTTCATATTTATTAGCTTTTCCTAAATTATTCCTGTAATACTCCTTCAACCATAGTCAAGTAGAAGAGAGAGAGAGGATATTAAGAAAAATGATTATGGTATTTTAGAAAAAATATATCATATTTCTTATAATTAACTAACTTACCTAAATTTCTTAATCTAATCAAATTAGTTAAATAGGTCTTATATTAAAAACTATAGAAGTATACTTGTATTTGAGAATGTTTTATCAATATTTAATATCTCAATATTATCATATTTTGTTAATAGTTTTAGGATCAAAAGAGCGTATAATTTTGACTGAAACCTTTTATAAGAAGATCTATAATATTTAATTTAAAAATATAATAAATTATTATTATTAAATATTGCGTGCTGAAATGGATGCTACGAGCTGTTTAAAAAATTATGTTTTTTATTTAAAATATTTAATATATAATTTTAAACATAATAATGTGATAATATTTTTTTTGCCATTATAATAATATGATGATAAGTGGGAAAATTCCTTTAAAAACATTTAAATAACTCAAATCCTTATTTCGGCCATTAAATTTATTAAACCTTTAATCAGGTTCAAAGAGGGATTTAAAAATTTTATAAAATGACCCTAGTGTCCCTTTTATTAGAAACAAAAAGAATTCTAAATTAACATGTTTTATTTCACAATTAATGTATTTCAATTCTAAATTAATAATTTTTGTATCCATAACACACTTACAGTGAGTTTTTGAATAACATTCATGAAAATTAATAAGTTTAATCACACAGTTAAAAAGTTTAAGTTCTAAATTAATAGCTTTGTATCTCCATAACAAATTTGCAGTAAGTATTTGAATACAACCTTAAAAATTTTAAATCAATAATTTTTTTGTCTCCATAACAAACTTGCAATAAATATTTGAATAAAACTTAATCACAATATAACTTTAAAAATTAACAAGTTCAATTTCAATACTAAATTAACAATTTCTAATTCATAATTCATAATTCATAAGTTTCGATCTCCATACACAACAAAAAATGCCCATTCAAAATATTCATCCTCCAATACAATTAATTTCAGCATGAGTTTGGATTTTCACCAGTGGCACAAGTTTTCTTGTTCTGGAATTATTTGATTCACGTCTCTTAGTTGTTGGCCATCCAAAAGGTTGACTTATGTGAGGTGATTGGAGGAAGATTTGGCCTATTCTATAATTATTAACATTTGGAATTATTTGATTCACGTCTCTTTAAAAACCCTCTCCCTAACAAAAACCCACGTCATTATTCCAAAATAGTAAAATACTCACAAACAACATATTAGCACATATAACAAGTAGAAAGTGATTACCTCTCGTCAAAGCAATAGTAAGGATTACTACAAGGTCAATTCTTTGCTTAACCAATAATTAATCTACACAATTAATATGACCACATATTAATATAAGCTAATTAATTAATAATTAAGCTTATATATTAGTTAAATTCCTAATTTAATTTAATTTTTACTCTAAGTATCCACAACTTTCATGACCCAAAATTAAGTATTTTATAGTTGATTTATAATTTTCTAACAAGCCAAATTATTTATTTACATCCTCCAACTTATTTACTTTAATAAAAAAAATTTCAAAATTTTCAAATATGAAATTACTATGTTCTAAATTCTAAAAATCTCATTTGAAATTTAAATCTCAAAATTGAACCATAAAAAATTCAATAGTACCTCAAATATTTATAAATAAATAATCTAATCAAAATTTTAATGGTATGACTATCATATATATATATATATTCATAAATAATAAAATTTTCAGGTAAAATAATTATTTTAAAACCTCCAGTCACCCAATAAATAAAACTAAACCGTTTAAAATCTCAATAATATGCCAAACAACCCAAATAAATTATTTAACTTAATTTTAATAAGTATAAATATGATATCTCTCATAAATAATAGATTTTTCAACTCAAGATTAATTTTTTAAATGCTAAAACCAACAAATGGATAAATCTAAACCGATAGAAATGATCTACTATAACATGTTTATAATATTGTAGTTAACACTCATCAAAACTAAATACTTGCTCCAAACTCTATACTAAAAAATTTTTCTATGTAACACAAAATTACTATTATTAGATATATTTGACTGAGTAGAATAACTTTCACGAAAGAAATTTTATAATTAGAAGTAGTTTTACTTGCCAAAATAATTTGTCACGACGGAGAAAGGAATAGGAGAGAGTGGGATGCTACAACAGGGAGAGAGAGGGGGGAAAAGAAAAATGACGAGTGGGTGCGGTAAAAAGAAAACATTTGGGGTAAATTGAAGTTAAAGACCCTCTTTGAAACAGAGAAAATAACAGTTTAGAACCCTTTTTTTTTAATATTTAAATCCTTGGGATAAACAATTAAGATATTACAAAACTTATCCTTCAATGTTATACACATAGCCTGTGCAGTTTTATACTCTTCAAACTCACATTATGTCATCAGCCATGGCACTCAGAAGCATGATTCTTACTATGCTGTTTTTCTTCTTCCAAAC